GCGTACACAAAGCTAATATGCAACTTATCTGATTGATTATTAAAGAAGAAAATTGTGGGACTTTTTTGTTGGTAACTTGTGAATTCCTTATAATATAAAACACAACTTTCAAACTTAAATTGCCTAATTTCGATGCACTTGACTTTCTCTCTCCAAACCAAAGAACCTCCAAATCGTGCCTTTACAGAAGAAAAGCCTTTTAATCGCTGTCGCGGGTGCCTCCATTCCACCGGCCGATCGGCAGCCTCTAAAGCGGCACTGCTCTACACCGAGGTGGCGGCGAGCTCAAAATCCGGTAGTCTCACTCTTGGCGGCATGGCGTCTCTCCGTTTCAACAATCAGTGTTTAGTTGTGATTACATTTTAAGTTTGTATTATTCTAATATTTAATAAAAGTTGTAACAGTTTTGTTTTAAAATTTATTATAATTGCATTCTTTGTTAATTTTGTAAGTAATATTATGTTTTTTGTGTAACCATTATAATATTGTAACTGCATATATATTTTCTTCTAATTGTACATTTATTTAATATTTGAATTTCAAATTACTCATGCTTATTTTTAACCAATTTAATTAGTACAATAAAATTGATTTTTAAGGAAATTATTAGAAGTAAAGTAATATAAAATTTGAATTTTTCTTAGAAAATAAATTTATAAAAATAAATATAAGCATATCATTTTTTTTTATTGTTATATATATATATATATATATATTAATTATGTATATGTATATATGTTATTGTGTATATTTGTGTATTTACCGTATTAGCCTTAGGTTATTTGTAGCACTAATTTTGTGTATATATTCTTGGTTTAGTGAGAGTTGTATCATCCGATTGTGATGATCATTTACCCAAATTCTTCTTGTCTCCTTCGTATCATGGTATCCGATTGTGATGATATTTTTCGGATCACAAATTTCTTTGTTCTGTCTAATCCGATTGCCTTCGTCGCGTCGGGTTCATCCATATATTCTATCAATTGCTTTCATCCCTTTTTTTTTGTTAAATCGAAAAAAAAAAATATATATATATAAAATATATCGAGAATTGTTTGCTGCTATCAAAGTTGCTGTCCAACTTGTTCAATTGTTGGCCAACTTGTTCGCTGCTATCACAAAAAAAAAAAAAAAAAAACCCTTCCTTCAATTGTTGGGGCGAATCGCTTCCGATTGTTTGTGGGCCTTGTTGGGAGTTGTCAACTTCCAAATTCTCACTGAAGATTCCATCAAAAAATAAAAAATAAAAAAAAAAATAGTCTGCGATTCCATGGCAGATTCTTCCACATGGGTAGAAGGTAGTGCCGAAATTGCAGGGCACAGTACTGGTCGTCGTCCCAAATGTTATCATTGTGGCCGAATGGGTCATCTTGTTGCTACTTGCTTTGAGATCATTGGATATCCGAAATGGCTCGGTTACAGTGGTGGAGCTCGCGGCGAGAGTGGTGTTCGTGTGAATGCGGCGTTCTCTAGTGGTATCGATGATTCGTTTATTGCCGGTTCTGTTGGTTCTTCCACTGCTAGTGGAGTATTGAGTGATTCTGGTACACGTAGTTCATTTGATTGGATGTACGACTGTGGGGCGACTCATCATATGACAGGGTTCCTGGAATTTATTTCTGATATTCGAGATATTCCCGCTCGTTCTGTTCAATTGCCTAATGGTTCCTTGACAATAGCTAAAAAGGCGGGGACTGTTTATTTGGGATCTCATATCACTCTTTATGATGTTTTGTACGTTCCAAGCCTTCGGTGCAGCTTGATTTCACTATATCAGTTGTTGGATCGTTCCAACTTCACGGCTAAGTTCACTAGCAAATTTTGTATTATTCAGGACCGCACTTCGCAGAAGGTGATTGGCATGGGCGAGCAGTGGGGGGGTCTCTACTTTTTTCGAGGGACGGTTTCTACGACGGTTTCTTGTGTTCAAAAAGTTTCTGTCGACGTGTGGCATCAACGTTTGGGTCATCCGTCTGCTCAAGTATTGTCCCAGGTTCCTATTATTGACAGAGTTCTCGTAATTTGCATAAATCGTGTGATGCTTGCTTTCGTGCTAAACAACATCGTCGTAGTTTTCCTCTCAGTCAGACTGTTAGTCATGAGATTTTTCATTTGATTCATTGTGATTTGTGGGGTCCGTATCGTATTCCGTCTTTCTGTGGTGCACGGTATTTTTTGACTATTGTGGATGATTGTTCTCGTGGAACATGGGTTTATTTATTGAATGATAAGACGGAGGTTTCTTCCACGTTGCTGAATTTCTTTTCTCTGATTAAGCGACAATTTGATAAATCGCTGCGTGTTGTTCGTAGTGATAATGGAAGCGAGTTCATGTGTTTGGCCCCTTATTTTCGTCGTCAGGGGATTTTGCATGAGACTTCTTGCGTAGGCACCCCTCAACAGAACGGGCGTGTGGAACGTAAACATCAGCATATTCTCAATGTAGCTCGTGCTCTGCGTTTTCAGGCTCATCTACCTCTTCCTTTTTGGGGTCATTGTGTTTTGACGAGGGGTGAGCGTGGGTCGGTACGGTTCGGAGATTGATAAATCTCCAGAACCGTACCAAACTTCGGAGATCCCAAAATTCGATCTCCGGAACCGTACCAAAAATTCGGTTCGGATCGGTTCGGAGATTTTTATTTTTCGGTTCGGTCCGGTTCGGTATTCGGGACAATTGGGACGGTTCTGTTCGATATAGTTTGGTTCGGATCTTCGGAGATTTTTTATTTTTTAAATTATTTTTGAATGATTACCTAGTTATATTTCAATTTTTATATGCTTTAAAAAAACAACATTCATCAATAATTTATCATATTAAAGATTTTATTTTGAAATTAATTCTAGAAGTAACTCTAAATTTTAGTTATTTAATTTTTATATGCTTTAAAAAACCAACATTCATCATTACTTCCTCACATTAAAGATTTTATTTTGAAATCAACTTTATAAGTAACTCTAAATTTTAGTTATAACTAAAATTTGTGCAACTAATATTGAAAATTTAAATTCAAATAAAATATAATATTTTTTTCTTACAAAAATATTTTTTAAACTTTCATATTAATTTAAATAATTAGTTTATAATAAAAAAAATTCAATTGTAGATCAAGTATTACTAAGAATGAAATTTAAGTGAATGTTAATATTTATTAGTATATTATATAGAATCAAAGTTGACATAAAATATATTAGTAACACATTTAATGTTATAATTCGGTTCTTAATTTCGGTTCTTCGGTTCGGTACAGTACAGTACGGTACGGTTCGGTTCTCGGTACGGATATTTGTGAAATCTCGAGAACCGTACCAATTATTTTTTCGGTTCGGTTCGGTTCGGAGAAAGTCAAACGGTCAACGGTTATTTTTTGGTTCGGAGTGATTTCGGTTCGATTTTCGGAACGGTTCGGAATTCTCCGAGTCCCATGCTCAGCCCTAGTTTTGACTGCGGTCTATCTGATAAATCGGACTCCTTCCTCAGTTTTACATGGTAAAACACCATATGAGATTCTTTATGGTTCGACTCATTCCTTGTCTCATTTGCGGGTCTTTGGTTGCCTTTGTTATGCACATAACCAAGATCGTAATGGTGACAAGTTTGCTGCTCGGAGTCGTCGTTGTCTATTTGTTGGTTACCCTTTTGGAAAAAAAGGGTGGAGTTTGTATGATTTGGATCGTCAGATTTTCTTTGTCTCTTGTGATGTGGAGTTTCTTGAGACTGAATTCCCATATCAATCAGAATCATCTGAGCCAGATCCTTCGTCACCGCCTCTTGTTGTGCCGGTTTCTTCTGCGCCGGATGAGGATGAGGATCTTCAGGTTGTCTCTTTGCCTCATGTTTCTCCCGATGCTGGGTCTTCTGCTACTGATATGGACACATCTGACGACCAAAGGGTTCTGTTACCACTACCCCTCCCACTCTTCCGGTGGAGCTTTTGGGTCGTGGTCATCGGACTAAGGTTCCTTCCACTCGGCTGAAGGATTTTGTGGTTGACACTGTCCG